CCAGCATTCTTTGGGCCAAGTCGGGAACCGGCTTGGGAGCTGGAGCCGGGGTAGTCTTTGCCTTGAAGGCAAAGCTGATTTTGCCCCCTTTGTTGGGGGTAGCAGATGAATTAGGCTGTTGCGTAGCATTAGTTGAATGTGGGTTGCCTTGAGCATCACCTCCCGCAGTAGCCTTCGAACCGTCATCTTCTGTGTTGGATTCTTTCCTTGATGGTGCAAACTGGTCACCATTTTCGTCAACATGGGGTCTTTCTTCGTTGGCCGGGGGCGGTGGTGGGCTGGCTGATGGTTGCCTATAGGGCTCGTGAGGGCTGGAAGGGCCTCGACCTCGGGAATCACCCCTCCAATGTGCTTTGTTAAAATTGCTTCGACCATGTGGTGGTCCGTTATTATGGCCCTGAGGCCCCGAGTTCATAAAGCGACGGTCGCTGCCATGGCCTTGATAGCCGCCACGGTACCCTGAATGTCCACCACGGTAAGATGGCCCTGAATAAGACGAGCTGTGACCATGTGGTCCACTCGTAGTGTAGTTGTTCTGCCGGTATGGAGAGGTAGGGCTATACATATTGTCTGATGTTAGTCTGATGCTGCGGAGAATTGTCCTGAGATGACTCGACTTACACATGCTGACCCCGTCCCCCGCGTCCGCCCGAGTACGGAGAACCAGGCTGTGGCGAACCGTGGTAAGAATTCGTCGGAGTAGCGTTCTGCATCGTCGAGGAGTATTGAGAGGCATCGGCATACGGTCGAGATGTTCGCGGGCGCTGGAATGCATCGCGTGATGTCTCCCCGTTGGCCGAAACACTGGCATTATCTGCATCATGCCCCGGAGCTTCCCGAGACGGGGACAGAGACCTGAACGAGTCACCCGCTGCTGAGCGGGCGGGTCTGGCGGAGTTCATCGTCGGATCACCCAGAGAATTGCGGCGAGAAGCTATAGATATTCTCGATTCACCGGACTGCACAGAGTGACGCGAAGGTGATCGATAGCGGGGCTCGTTCGCGAGTTCGTCTTCCGGCAAAGGGCTATGAAAGCGACGCCGAGGGTATGCGTAAGATTTCCCACCACGTACGGGAGACCTAGAGCGCCTAGGTCGTGGGGATATTGGACGTCTACCCCCGGGTGGGCGTCTATCTCTCCCTCGTCGGGGGGATGGTCTCCGACCAGACCGACCCCGAGTTGCGAATCGTCCTCGCCTGTTGGATGGCAGACCTCGATCCAGGTCGTCACTGTGATTGGAAGGAGGATAGCGATGACTTGGCCGGGTGGGAGGCTGATCGAAGCCACTGGGAGAAGGACTGCGCGTCCTTTTACGCTTGAAGGGAGGCGGAGCGGATGGTGAGTGGTCGCGCCGATGGTGGCCTCTATCGTTGGTGTTTTCAGCTTCGAGAGAACGACGCGATTCCAAGCCAGGATAATCAGTGGGTAAGGGTGAGCGATCACGGCCTAGTTTCCGACCAGGGTGAAATTCCGAATGTGGATGACCAGGGGAGCCACGGGCGGAGACGGTGCTAGGGGACAAATCACGGTGTTGGCGAGGTTCGTGGTGAGGTGGAGGAAAGGGACGCGGTGGCGGCGACCGTAGAGGAAGCTCGTCGTCGGGTCTGCCCTCTTTGGGTCGGCGACGACGCTCACGGTCGCGAAATTTGTCCCTTCCCCTATCGCGGTACGAGCCTCGAGGCCGGTGCTTCTCCCGGTCTCTGGGGTCTCTAGTGTCGCTGGTGGCTCTCCACTGGTCTCTCAACACCGGACTCCTGCGGGACCCAGCCATGTATTCTCCTTCAGCTGCATCGGATTCCAACAGAAAAGGAAGGAAAAGCAGCAGGGATCAGAATGACCGGCCCACTGAAGGATGAGGAGGTTCGCATGTAGATGTCAGCGTTAGGATAATCCGGTGGAGCCTATCCTCTCGTCTAGGCTGGTCGGGGCGTGTGTCGGCCGCGTTCACAGTTCTCTTTCTGTCGGGGGATTGGGTGGTGCGGAAGACCGGTTTTTCCGGAGGGTTTTGAGTTGACGGAGGGAGGATGGGAAAAAGGCGTCGCAAAGGCCGGCAGTTCTGGGCAGAAGCAGATCGTCAATGTCCGGGAACACCTTTCGAACCGGCTGCAGAATGTAAAGTGCAGGGGAAAATGGGTATTCTAGAAGGGAGAAGGGGGGGACAGACGCACCTCGCAGTCTTTCTTTTTGGTTGGTCCCGAGGGGGATTAATTTGCTTCCAGTGGCCGCTTTCGTTGGCCTTGGAGCACTAGATAATACGAAGAACCACCATGAGTTGCAAGGTGGTGATGGAACGGGAGTCTACTTTGATGGCGGGAGATTTTAGTGAAGAGAGTCAGTCCAGCAGGTGACTCTGGGGCGGCCCAACACCGACGAGCCGCTGATCCAGTGTTCCTCCTTGTCCGATCCCTTCTTCCTCTTTCACTTCCGGGCTTGCCAGTAGTTTGGCTCTTACTACGGATGCTGGCGCAAGGCCGCGGTGCAGAGACGGCAAAACCAGGTGACGACCGGTATTGCTGTCCGGTAGACCCCTTAGGCCGCTTTGGGGCCTGGGGTACGGGGAGACATGGAGGCATTCAGATGTCGAAATCCTCAGTCAAATATGAGCGTCGCTGAATAGCACATCCTCAGCCCAGTAGTATTCACTCCATGCCCCCTGCCTCGATCATGGCCATTGTTTCCATGTCCGGGCCACGGGAGGGCTTCAATTCTTCTCTTCCATCATGGTCCAGCTGCACCGAACTCAGCCTTTTCTCTTACCCCCTTCTTGCACTGTCTTGTACTTCTGCCAATGATGATCTGTCTTGGGTTCATGTTCGGGTATTTCGTCTTTCCTCCATATTTGTCGCGTAAAACATCACCATGTCTTCCCCCACCTTTTACAGGCTCATCGCCTGCATATAGCGCTTTTGGTCGCTGGCTGGAAGAGGAAGCATATCCTTTCCACAACAGAACACACCTATCTACGGGGAGCAAATAAACCGCAAATTGACAAACATTGACAAAAATGATCAGAGCAAACACCTTGCCCAGGCGAGTTGTAGTAGCAGCACCGGCGCAGACGGATGATTCCGCAGTGATCAGTTGCGGCTCACCAGATTAGTTTCTTGCCATCAGTGGGTGTGGTGTAACAAGTTGAGCTATCGTAGGCGCCCAAAAATGCCCAAGCGCCGTTCACTGCTTAACGTATTCAAGGCCCGCATGCTTCCTGACAATGATCAAGGAACAAGAAGCAGAAGGGGTCGATGTTGAAAGACAGCGGTGTAAGTCTTCGAGATACCGAAGACATAGGGTAGTCGAGCTTTGTGAATGGGGAAAATATCAGGTATCATAGAGGACAATGTCATCCGTCTAATTACTCAAGTGTTCGACGGTTGGCGACCTGACTTTGGCACACCACGTCGAAACCATGTTTGAATCCTAGGTAAGAACCGAAGGTAGGCTCTAGCTATACCACAAGCCACGCCACAGATACAGGTAGTTGTACTCACACTCATCCAATTTCTGGAGAGCATACGGTTAATGTTCGCCATGTACGTACCTGCCGTTGATGTTTGGGGTGAAGTCATTGAGCCTCGAGGAACTCCGAGGAAATCCGGCATCTAAGCCTACCCAACAAACACATGGCCTGCCAACCATACTGATTGTGAGAGCAGGAAGAGATTATTTCCCAACCATCCTGAGGTAAATCGGCCATCAAAAGCCACTTGCGAAAGCGATGTTTATCAAGGGTACCGTAGAGGATTGAGACGTGGCTGTTCATGACGTGTATGTAGGCGGTGGGGATGCGGGCTTTAGGAGAGGCACTCCCAGTCCAACTCAACCGAACACATCGTAAACGTACGTGGCTAGGACCAACCCTAGCGGGCTAAATAACGTGCAAAGAGGTCCCAAAGTCATCTTTATTGCGCCAGAGACCTCCAGCCAGAGCTTATCCGCAACGATATATCAGAGGACAGGGGCTGGTCGGTACATGGACTCTTGTTGACTTTGGTGACAGGTCAAGGGTGGCCGTAAGCTTGAAGCAACGGAGGGAATGCCGCCCGTGGTCACGTGGTTCGGCGCCGGATTAGCCTGGTCTCCGGGCCTAGATAGTATAGCTACTAAGATTATGTACTTTTCAAGGTTGTTGTTGACTTGCTTAAGGAAAGAAGGCTTAGAGCATATGACTTACTACTCTATATAGTTGACCATCAGGGTTAAAAATATTATAATTGGCAGTATGATTGTCTGTTGTTTTCTAGTATAGAGCTTTGCTGAATGGAAGGTCAGTCTGCTTGTTATAGCTTGAACTAAATCTTTCCTATTGCACTGCAATAAATCCTGCTCTAAATACTGCCTAGAGGCTATTTCAAATGCTTTATATTTATCACTATTGCCTGGGCTACTATTCTTTGGCTTGATTTGTCTGCTAAGCGAGGGACACTCTGCTTCTTTACTTTTATAACATGTAATCTGCCTTGCTAGTACTAAGGTCTGAAAAGACTTTAGTATACAATCTAGATTAAGACACTAGAAAGACTACTAGTAGATACTGACACTCTAACACTCTCATGCCCTGGTATTATTTGAAATTTTTCTTTGTTATCCATACTCTTACTAGCAGGGACTATAAATCTATTTGCTTCTTTCATTCCTTTGATATTCTGATTTCCTTACTGACTCCTAGACTAAGTCCCCAACCCCTACTATTGGGCAATCACCATAATCTTAAGTTCATTAATAAAAACGCCAACAGTCTGGTGTTGCCCAATACCTCTCAGTTTTACTTACAAGGTAGGAAAAAATGCCGATGCAAAGAGGTTTCGAGCTCTACTGCCAATGCTCCCCTCCTTTTCGCTTACCGAAGATGCTATCCAATAGCTGCTCGGGATGCTTTGCAGATGAGAATTTCTATACAGTGCTAATCCCATTTGAGTGTGCACGCCATTTTAGCAGATCTTTAATTCAGACCTATCATCAGTCATCTGGTTGATCGATCCGATTTCTTCTTTTCTTGTGATGAAAATAGCAGCCCGTATGCTCTCATACTCCCCACGACCACCCCTTGTCTTGCACAGACAATTCTCCATATGATCACCACCGCCATCCTTCCCACTCAACCCGCATCATGATTCTCAGCGGACTTGAAGTCGTCACCCGCCAACTGGTGCGGAATCTCCGCGGTGCCACCCAGCAACAACCCTGCGGCATTGATCTCACCCTTCGTCAGATCTCCAAATGGACCTCCGCAGCGACTATTGACTTCGATAATACGAAGCGCCAGGCAGCCAGAACCTCTATCTTGCCGTTTGATAACACAAGTCACGCCATAACACTGCCACCAGGCGCTTATTTGGTCGACTTCAACGAATCCGTTCACATTCCACGGGACTGTATGGGTAGCATTTTCGCGCGGTCATCCCTCTGGCGCTCTGGGGTGGGAATTACGGCGGGTGTTGTCGACGCCGGGTATGAAGGTGCTTTAGGTGCCCTGATGGAGGTCAAGAATCCCCACAGCGTCGTTCTGCATCGAGACGCCAAGCTCGCGCAGATTGTCTTTGAGGAGTTGAGCGAAGAGGTGGAAGGATATAATGGCATCTACCAAGCTTCGACGAGCAGTGCCGGGCGTGATGGAACGGATCAGACTTCAAAGTCTTGTGCAGGGAAGAACTTATGAATGAGACATGTATTGGAACGATCGGCGGCATCATAGCTGGACCCATATACCCAGTTTGTATGGAGTTATCCTTCCCCCACTAAATTCCCCTCCAGCCGATCCACGATCCACAGAATCAAGCAAGGCGTGCGGCTACATCCGCAGCTCGATCGTCGAGTGTACCACCAGGTACTTCTATTCGATACTAAGATGGTGCGGCTGTTGCTACATCTGTTGCATCTACCCCAGTACTACCAGGCTTTACATCTTTAGTTCCTCCTTCTCTGCTGTCTTTACCATCAGCCCTGGACTCGACCAGCGGATTCGCAATTGTAATTTTGCTACAACGCGCCGCCACTGGCGTAATCGCCCCCTTGTGACGCGCAGATTGTCCAACTTGGAGTGCTGTTTTGATATCAATAGGTTTCTCTTGGGAATTCTTATCATAATTGTGTTAACGTAAATGAACCGAGCATAGTTAGAGAAGATACGGATAAAATAATAAGTCGGATGACACCAATAATAAATTTGGAGGTGAAGGTATATTTGCTCCAAGAGCAAATCGAGAATCTCTTCTATTATTGTATATTTAGACCTGGTGACGGCTCAGCATAGAATTGGACTAGATGAGGGATACCGAAAAAGTCTGTATCTGCAAGAGTATTCCGACTTTACGGAGTAGCTAGAGCAGACATGATATAACACTATGCTAGAGAATTAACAATACTAGCCAAAAGAGAGATAATAGAGATATTGGCGGAAGTACTGTACATAATGTATGTGTAGAGGGTATGCAAAGAGGGGAGCTGTTAGTAAGATTATTATACTATCTTGTTGACATCCACTGGAGCCTGGCATCACCTGATTCTTCGCCACCTCTGCCGCTGTGGTCCCTCCTTCACCACCACTACACCATCTTGGGATCTATGACTATTTACACATACAATCGACTAATACCCTGACATCTGTCTTGAGACATAATGAAGATGTTAATGGCTCATTACAAATGTGTTCCGTCCCTTAGAACTCGGACTCTAACTGAAGTGCTGATGGCACTCTTGAAGAGAGCCGACCAACGCAGTGCTCTTACAGAGTAGGAAGCGATACTATGGTCTTCTCAACGAGTATCCATCCCCATGTAAATGTTTGCGGCGTATGCTCCCTGACCCACTGCTAGGCCTTTATACTGGCAAATTACACAGTAAGTCTGCACACTCTCGATAACCATACTTGTCTTTCACGGAATTTTCAGTTTGTCAGACCATACCGGCCTAGCATCGACCCCCTATGATCCTTGAACCTCATCAGATGTTTTTCTAGATACAGCCTTTTCCTGTAACAGCGAGTTCTGTCGCTTCCTCGGCATGCCGATTTAGATCAGACAGGCTCTTTTCCCAAATCGAAACAGGTCTGAGAACTGCCTGCCAACAAAACACCGCTCTTGTGGTTCTTTCCATCCACGAACCAGCACTCGCAAGTGTTCGTCCGATGTCTTGGAGACGGACAACTACGTTGACCGCCAGGTCCTTCAATCAGCGTCCTAGAGCCTACAATCAATGGTTCCTGCATGATGATGGGGTGCATTACGTGATTCCCGAACCAAGCATTTTCTTTAAAGAGCAGGCGATGCCCCACAGTGTTTGACGATCGTGATAGCTAAATCGCGTTGCTGAATGGTGATAGGTCTGAGATCTATCATCGCCCCTGGTATATGTTTGGAATATGTTGAGTACTGAACCCATTGTGGATATTCGTCGTCATCAACGGTGCCGTCAGAGCCGTGCAGAAATTGGACGTGGGTCTGAAAGAAGCACACTTTAAGCTTACCAGTGATAAGATCATAAGGTCGTTGGAGGTCCACTCATTCGTGACCTCCAACCTCCGGTTCTGTCAATTGACGAGCTACAGATTCCACCATCTACTTTTAGTCCACACTTCCCTTGTTTCTTCCCGTGCATCCACGGTGTTCTACCGGCGGAGACTAGCCCTCGTTAGGCAACAATCGGCACATCTCCCGTTTATCAACAACAGAGCGAGTGGGGGATCTCTATCCAACCTAATGAACAGTACGGCGACACCCTCTAACTGGAATACTGCTTTACTGTGAAGAGCATGATATCCGCTTTTGTCTCCAACGATCAATCTATATGGCTCGGAAAATGCAGGTACCGGGCTAGGCTTTCCCCTCCTTTCTCGGTCGGAGTAACCGTTCCTGGGAATAGTAGCTGACCTTGATTTGATGCTGCCGATGTCTCACGATCTCCTTCTGTAGATATAAAAGCAGTTCTATCTCTCTGCTTCTCCAAATTCAAAGGATTAAACCCCAACTGTCACTCTTTTATCACTACAGCCATTCTTTTCCTACTTGACATTTTTACCCCATGAAGTCCGCTACACCTCTCCTCGCCGCAGCCGGCGTGGCTGCAGCCAAGAACTGCAGCGTTGACACCATTGCTCGATTCCTTCCCAAGAATGCAACCGTCTTTTACGCCAATCATTATGAAAAGGGATATAACTTCACCCCTCCCATTGAATACAACTATGGTCTGACCTCCGACCCCATGGGCATCAGCGCCTATGAACTTCCTCTTGCCGGCTGTGTCGCCCAGGCCAACATCTCCCTGCCCAACAACACCCAGCACAGCGTCGGTCTAGTCCTACCCGACGAATGGAACGGTAGATTCATGGCCGTCGGCAACGGCGAATTCGCCGGATCTGTCGGCTGGTCTTCCATCATCAACACCATGTGGTACGGCTTCGCCAGTGTATCAACCGATACCGGCCACGAGGGCAACAACGGAAGCTTCGGATACCACAACGAAGCTGCCCTCACCAACTGGGGCTACCGCGCCCTCCACGACGCCGTAGTCAACGGCAAGAAGGTCACCGAGGGCTACTACGGAAAGGACATCTCGTACAGCTACTACCGGGGTTGCTCCGCCGGTGGCAAGCAGGGCTTCAAAGAAGTCGAAATGTTCCCCGACGACTTCGACGGCGTAGTTGCCGGCGCACCAGCCTGGTGGACTTCCCACCAGCAGCTGTGGAACGTCCTCACTGCCATCTGGAACCTCCCCGAAACCGCCGACTACCACGTCAGCGACGCCCAAATGACCGCCGTTCAGGACGAGATCCTGAAGCAGTGCGATCCTCAAGACGGCCTGAAAGACAACATCCTGCAGAACCCCTTCGGCTGTGTCTTCGACCCCGTCCCCGTGATGTGCAACGCCACCTCCTCCAACGACACCTGCGTGACCCCCGCCCAGCTCAAGACCGTCAACAAGCTCTTCAACCCCTGGTACGAAGCCAACGACACCCTGATCTTCCCCGGCTACACCCTGGGCACTGAAGTCGGCGCCCCCAGCCTGGACGACGACTTCGTCACCTACATCCAATACATGCTCCAGATCGGCGGCGACTGGACCTGGAAGGACTGGAACCCGGACCTCGTGGCCCTCTCCGAAAAGATCAACCCCGGAAACGCCACAGCCGACGACTTCGACATCTCCCCCTTCTACAAGAAGGGAGGCAAGCTTCTCCACTACCACGGCTACTCCGACCCGTCCATCGCCACCGGCTCTTCCGTCTACCTGTACAACCACATCCAAGAAGCCCTCCGTCCCCAGGACATCCCCATCGACGACTTCTACCGCTTCTTCCTGATCCCCGGTATGGAGCACTGCACCGGCACGCCCTCCGACCAGGACGCCCCTTACTACATGAACGGAGACAGCCAGGCCGCTTCTCTCTCCGGAACCGTGTTCGGCGTTCCCGGATTCAATGACCCCAAGCACGATCTCGTCCTGGCTATCATGAACTGGGTCGAGAACGGCACTGCCCCTGACTATCTCATCCCGACCAAGTTCAAGAACGATGATGTCGCCGATGGCGTCGACAAGCAGAGACCTATTTGCCCTCATCCCCAGCTGGCTAAGTACAAGGGCTCTGGTGATGTGGATAAGGCTGAGAACTGGTACTGCGGTACTCTTTACTAGGTAGGGAGCGTGTCTTGCTTCTTCATAGGTGTATATGGATGGATGTTTGATGTGTTGTGGTTGGTGCTGCTTTGGTACCTGTTCGTGTGTATATAGTACCGACTGGGACCTTGAATTCTGCATGATAAGAGTGTAGTAGATGCTCGATACACTTTTGTAATATATAAAATGTCCAAAAATGCTACCTGTACTTCTTGTTTTACGTGTTTCACCCTCGTAGTATCTTAAACAGGTGCGGAAATAGGTCAGAAGGATACTTCTTTGCTTTGTCTTCTACCCGAGTCAATCATACATTTGAAGTCAATAAAAGGACTTTCTTGGCTTAAAGATCTAGACAGTAGTTATTTCATACGTGATTGAGAAGTCGAAGACTTTACTCATTACGACAAAGAAGAAGTACCTATCTCCAAATTCACCCAGTACTAAACACTCCTCGAAGATACATGGCCATTGAACCAGTACCCTTCATTCTACCTAGTTCTAGATTTTAGACAGACCAAATCACTGCTTACTATACTTCGTACGCAAAGACGCCAGCACCACCTCACCCAGTCCTCCAATAGTACCTGCCTTGCTGATAGCCGTCAGAGACAGCACAACACCTATATTGCGACGAGCCCAATTGCGAAGCTCAACCGTCATCAAGGAATCAATAGGCATTTCCACCACCTGATCGTAGCTGAGATCATGGGCGAACTTAGAGTACTCCTGAATGCACTTGATCATGTATTCAAGGATCCTGTTGGCCATGTCATCGGTCTCGAGGGTTTCAGGTTGTCTTTCGATCAATGCCAGAAAATCCCGCATGGCTGCTGCATTGCTCAAGGACGACTGATCTGGACCTTGGTTGACGTCCTTGTCGAGATTCCGGTAGATGCTGAATCGCGCATCTTGACCCCAAAGCGGACGGACCGAGAGGTCGGTCAGGGATTTGGTACTGCTCATACCAACGATGATATTGTTTGGCGCTCTGATGGTGCCATCGGCTATATGCAAGGAGGCCCTTGATTGACATTTGAAGATAGCGAGTTCTAATGCATCTAGAACTTCCTGCTCCTGCAGAAGGCGTACGGATCCAGAGCTCATTCGCTCTCGTAGTTTTGGATCTTGTGTGGCGATGTAACCTACATCTCCCACGGCGCCGAGGTTGACGACTGAGGCGGGAAGCCCAAGCTGCAGGCGATACTGCGTGAAGGAGGTCAAGAAAGCATTGGCTGAGGCATAATTGATTTGACCTGGGGTACCCAAGACACCTGTAATGGAACCACAGAGGACAAAGAACCTCAGGTGCGCATCGTGACCTTGTAGCGCATGATGCAGATTCCAAGTGCCTGCGACCTTGCAGGCCAACACATCTTGCCAGTCCTTATGAGTCATATTTTGGATAAATTGGTCCTAACCGATTAGTCTTTATGTCATGTCATTAAAGGGAGTTAAACGCTTACCCGAAGAACCATCGATAGTTGGAGGATTCCACCGATAGGGCGAGGGCATGAGCGAATGACGGCTTCTACATCCTCCAAAACTGACACGTCGGCTTTGGCCAGTACAACTGTGCATCCCTGGATCTCCAGTTCATGGGCGAACGACTGGTCTCGGTCAGATATGCCTGCGGACCGCGAGAGGAATATCAAGTGTCGGGCGCCCTTCTCCACCATCCAGGTCGCAAGTGTCTGTCCAATGCCCCCTAGACCGCCGACTAGAACATAGGCCAAGTCGGGTGAAAGGGCTGACTGTCTTCGTGACCGAGTAACATTGAGGCCATTGGTATTCCGAGGCATTCTTATCAGGATTTTACCAATGTGGAGGCCGCTTTGCATGTATCGGAATGCTTCTTTGACATTGCAAGCCTCGAACACCTTCGATGGGCGGATTGGAGATATTTTGCCTTCTTCATATAGATCCATCACTCGAGATGTCAAGCTGTTAGGCTAAGGTCAGCTGCAGTTTATCACACAGAAGTATGAATCTACTTACCTTGCAAAGGCTCCAGGCTTCTGCCCCAGCCTTATAAGATCCACACCAAAAAAGGCCCGGTTACCCCCAAAAGCATCCATTGGCAATTTTCCATGCTCGAGGATATCTCGTTTACCAATCTCTATCATCTTACCAAATTCGGCAACGCATGACCATGATGCATGCAACAGCTCTCCAGCCAGCGAGTTGAGCACAACGTCAACCCCGCGGCCACCCGTTTCACGTAGTATTCCCGGAAGGAAACTGCTGTCTCTCGAATTAAAGATCCGATGTCGCGGGATATGGAACATATTGACAAGATGCAAAGCTTTCTCCTTGCTGCCAACCGACGCATATATCTGATCGATGTCAGTGCCCCCCCCAATTATCCTGACCTTGATGAAGTGGCGTATGGACTTACTTCGGCACCAAGCATCTGGCACAAGTTGATCGCAGCCAAACCAACACCTCCACATGCTGCATGAACCAGCACAGACTATAGAGAGTAAGCTCTTCACTTCTTGAATACTAGCACTGATTAGGATCGGTAACCTACCTGACCCTTTTCTAACCGAGCAATGTCTGTCAAGCAGTAGAGGGCTGTTCCGTATGCCACAGCCATTGAAGCAGCATCCTCCAAGGGACTCCACGCTGGTAGACGCACACAGCTGGAAACAGGAACACACACGCGCGAGCAGAAAATCCCAGGCTGAAACAGCATGACCTTATCGCCAGGCTTCACTTGCTCTACGTCGCTGCCACATTGGCGGACGATGCCACTAGCTTCGACCCCAAATTCATCTTTGCTCGCCATGATTCCCAATTGGATCATAATGTCCTAATCTCCAGTCATTCTTCTTCCAATCAAATACATGTCGAGGATCACTTACTCTGAAGTTCAAGCCAACATAACTGACATCGACCATAACTTCGTGTGGCCCAGGAAGACCGAGTTCATGTTCAACCCAACCAAGAGAGTTCATTGAACCGTATGTACTGACGTCTAATCTTATGGGAGCTGTTGGATCCGGCTCCCGAAGAAGACAGTCAGAAAGGGACTCCCAATGGAACCTCGGGATGTTAACGGTCCCATTCTGCAAAGCGAACTCGTAGTCTATGTCGTTCGTGTCTTGACCTTCAGTTGCTTCGAAAAACTTCTCACTTACTCTCAAAGTAGGCCTAACTGCAGTCTCGTTGAATTGGTCTATCTGCAATGTACCGAAATGGAGTGCTTCCTCTTGTCGAACTGTTCGTGATGCACCAAGTACAATCCCGAATTCAGGATCATGGCACCCGAGTTCGACGGACGGGGTAATCCAAAGGATGCGAGGAGAACACTTGATCAAGCACTGAAACCAGCTCCAGCTCTGTGTGTCTATGTCTTTGAAGAAGGGCTTATCAAGATCCAAAAAGGAAATAACGCATTGATTAGGAGGTAATTCTTCTCCAAGGATGCATCGCTCGGTGTGGTAGCCTGCCTGCTCAAGTACGGCTTCCACATTGCATACCCACGGGTGATCGTGCCTCTTAAACGTGCATAGAAGGTAGATTGTCTTTGTTTTCTTCACTGCATTCCAATCTGAGGTACGTGAGATAATATTGTAGTGCAATGGATACGGAAACCTAGCGTCGTATGAATATGTCTCAACTCCGGTGAACCCTGCAAGCAGAAGTGATTTATGCCATGCATCAAGGGGCTGACAGTCTCCTAAGTGAGAGTTGTAGTTGTCACACCCAGCCAATGACAACAATCTCTTGTATATAGTCAGTCTTACTGTGGTATTGACGAGATCGCTGGCCGACTTACGGATGCATTTTCCATGACAGGGAGATCTTGGAAATAGTTAGCACTTCAACAATATATAGCTAATGCTTGTAGGCTAACCTGGACTTGGTACGTGGAGTAGAAGGCTCCCATTGTGTGTGAGGAGTCTCTTGATGTGCTGTAAGGAATTCTCAAGTCCTGATTTATCAATACACATCTTGAAGTCCGTTAGCTCAATGTTGCGAAACTCGAAGCGGAATCACCCACTTTAGACACTATCACCAAGTCAAAAATGCCTTCCTGAAATCCTTGCAATAGTGGATCTTGGGTGATGTCTAGCTGTTGGAAGTTAACATGCTTATGACCGTCTAACTGACTTTTAGATTGATCATCGATCATACTCGTGCTCGTGACTGTATAGCTTGAGTATAGTCTTTCGCCTGTTGACTTGAGCTGTGCGAGGATTGAGGAGGTGAAAGAAGGCTCACGGGCTTCTATCTCGAGAACTCGTAGCGTCGGATTGGAATGTGAGACAAGAGAAAGCCAAGCGGACAGGTCACTTGTGAGCGACATCTTGGAGCATTCTACCAGACTGCGCAAACTTGATACCGATTCAGTGTCACAGAAGCCTCGGCTGACATCCAATGTCGAGACTAAAATGCCCTTCAATAGGTCTGAAACATATTTCAATCCCTCGGATTCGAGAGTCTCGTTTAAAACTTCAACTTCCTTCAATAGATCGCCATCCTCTAGTGTTGCCCACGCCTTTGCATTTTCGGCAGTGATCAGCTTTCCGTTTAGTATATTGTCGATCTGAGTTTGGATCCAGCATTGATAGTCCTTCGAATTCTCCGAGGAGGGAACTGTATGTTGGAGAAGTCGATGTACTTGAACCATATTGAGTGTTGAAGCTGCAACGATCGTGCGGGCCTGTGAATCAGTTAAGCTTTTGAGTCCAGAAAGCTGGTCCTGGGCTGTGATCAGATCCATGTCCGGGCGCCATTCGCCATATGTTGCCAAAGGGATGTTGCTGGATCCAGCTTTTATGCTGCTTTCCAACGGAACGAGTATAATCCCTTTCATCGAGAGGATTCTCTCATTACCTTGGCCTGTATTATCTATCAAGGTGACTTTGGTCTTGGATTGGCTCAAAGCGAGACTCTCCATAGACGCTGTCACCTTCACCTGCGGTCGGTTCCGACCGATCTGAATCGTATCCACAAACACAGGAACGTGAGGCTTTGAGTCCTGCATTAATTTCCCCTTTGAAGCTGCGATGCTGAGGAGTTGCAAGCCCTTGTCAATTGTGGTAGGATGCACAGCATGGGCGTCTTCGGTTCGGAGGATCGCGGTCGCTCTGTAGCTTAAGGGGTCCGCTCGAATGCTCTCCAAGCCTCTGAAGGCGGGTCCATACTCCAAGCCAAGTTTTCGCAACTCTTGATACAATTTGGCTGAATTCACGGGCCGTGCGCATTCGTGATCTGAATCCAAGTCCAGATCAAGCTGTGCTGTGCCAGCTGCGGCCTGACATACGGCATGTTTGACCCACTCGACACCATTGTAGGACATGATGCTGAGTTCTTAGGACGCAGAGGCTACTCGATCACTGATCTTGACAGGCTTCGCGCTTGTTACAATCTCAATCCTTTCCCATTGGTGGAGTAGAAGAGGAGCCTGAATGCACAAGTTCCGGATCGTGCACTCTTGCATGTTGGATATCTGGTGGGCGGCTTCGTTGATCATTGCAATGTACCCTGCGCATGGAAATTGAATTTCTCCCATGATGCAGTGGTCACCAAGCCATGGCACATCTACTAGGCTTAGTAGGTTTCTCCAGGATGGTTCAATATCACTTGATTCTAGCGTCCGGGAACCTAGAAGTTCATGGCGTGGATGCTGACGAAACCTCCAGTTTTTACTAAGCCGACTTTCCTTCCAATTCAGGCTCTGTCGGTCCCATGGGTACGGCGACAGGCTGCTAACAAATTGGCCTTTGCCATTGATTGCTTCCAGATCAATATCATATCCAGTTGAGAAAAGCTCTCCCGCCACTTGCAACAAGCAGCGTGCTTGGTCTTGATCAATCAAAAGGGTGGGAATGTATTTGTTCGCTTGCAATTTATGCCGAGCAAGTATTTGGCGCAGAGGTGCTGAGAGAGAACAGTGAGGTCCGACTTCGATGAAGGTCTTCGATATATCGTTCTTAGAAGCAAGGAGAGACTCGACAGCTTTGACGAAAAGGACTGGGGACTCAAGGTTGGCTCCCCAATAGCTAGCATTAAGCTGAGCGGGATCGTTGACTACCGAGCCCGTAAGTGTCGAATACAACGGTATCATGTTATTATTGAAAAGAATATAAGGCTCAATGAAGTCTCTAAAGACAGCCGCCGCTTGCTTCATATCGGCTAATGTCCAGGTCAGCAGATGTTTCGTTCAGGGAGTGCAGAAAGAAGCTAACAGGAATGGTAAGCCACACGTATGGGCAGCATTCTGGTGAAAATGTCCGGATTGTCGGTTTTGATCTGATTCACAACAGCTGCCAGACTTTCTCGGTTGCCGGAAATATTGACCGTCTCAGGGCTATTCTCACATGCCACCACGAGTCCATCTTTGAGATACTTCTTAACAGCATTCTTACCTAGACCAATAACAGCCATTCCTCCTGTTAGTGGGCAAGACATGGCGCAAAGGCCTCGGTAGTAGGCTACGATTATGGCCGTTCGAAGGGGAATCGCTTTCGCCGCATAAGCGGCTCCTACTTCACCGCTGGAATGGCCGATTACAGCCGCAGGGTGTATGCCCCAACTTTCAAGAAGATTTACCAGTGCAATTTGCACAGCAGCAGATAGGGTCTGTGAAAATACAGGCTCCTCCATCTTCTGTGGGTCTTCCAGCGTTTGGAGTTCATCTGCAACTGTTAGTACTAACGGAGACCCAATGTAGCATGTCGAATAACAATGACAAAAGAGCGTGCTTCTTACCAACGATGCTCCATGTGGGTGGCTCTGGCAACTCCTGCAATATTTGGTCCATAGTGAGGCAGTCGAGCTTGAAACCCGGGAATGCATCCATTAATTCTCTCCCCATGCCGCACCACTGCGAACCCTGACCGGAGAACGCAAATACTATGTCGCTCAAGGGTGAAGTAGATGCATTTTGAGTCAAACAAGGTTCATCAGGAGTATCATTACCACTAGTTACCATAAAGGTACGGTAAGGGAGGTGCTCCCGACACACTCCGAGGGTGTGGGCAACATCAGGGATCTGGGAAGGCTTCTCAAGTATGTACGATCTCACTGCTTCGCAGCGAGCCTGGAGTGCTCTTTCGCTTGCAGCAGAAACCACAAGCAGGCGGCTTCTATGAGGATGTCCCGAGACAGACTCTGTAGCCTCATCCCTCGGGGTAGGCCATGAGTCCAGAATAGCCTATGGGATGAAGTGAGCAATGCGGCCCTCTGAACTGGTCATTTGGCGGACTCACATGTGCGTTGGCACCACCAATGCCGAAACCGTTAACACTGACTCGTTCCTTCCGATCAGAAGGCCATGGAATTGGCTCGGTAGGAACTTCTAGGCGTCCTTTTTGAAAGGGTACTGGGCGAACATACTAGTCAGCCTAGGTATGGGTAAACCAGTCGTTAGAGTAGATTCTCACTCTTGGGATTAGGTTGGGCAAAGTGCATGTTTGGTGGAATGATGCGACGCTCCAGGGACAGTATAGCTTTTATCACTCCTGTGAGACCTGAGGCACCTTCCCCGTGACCAAAATTGGTTTTCACCTAGATGCATAGGAATTAGCATCGACGATGGATGTTGTAGCGCATTTGTTGTAGTACCGATCCAATGTACATTCCTCGTGAACCGAAGACTCGGGCAATCGCTGTTGTCTCGACTACATCTCCAATTTTGGTGCCAGTTCCATGACATTCGAAAAAGCCCGTATCTGAAGGATCTAAAATGTGTGCTTTTTGGTAAGCCTTTCGTATCAGTCGCTCTTGACTATTCACGTCGGGTGCAAAGATTTTGGCTGATTTCCCATCATAGTTTGCCGACGTTGCCCTTATGACTGCTCGAATGTTATCCCCGTCTGCCAGTGCCCGGCTCAGGGGCTTAATGTAGATTGCATTAACAGCCTCTCCTCTCCCATAACCATTAGCTCTAGCATCAAATGCCTTGCAATACCCATCCGGGGATAGAACCGAGTTATCAGACATGTTAATGGTCATGGATGGCGTTACAATCATATTGGTTCCGGCTACGATGGCTGAGGAACAACTCCCTTCATTTAGGGCCTGGCACGCTTCATGAAGGGCCATTAATGACGATGAGCATGCAGTCATAATAGTGGCACTATTCCGAGTTAGAGAGGAACAATAAGCTGGCATAGTGCTCCGTCGCCAATGACAAATACCTACCTCGGGCCTTTCAGATCGAATTGATAAGAGACGCGGTTGGACAGCGTGTAACTCCCATTAGCAAAGGCATGCACGCGAGGTATTGACAGTGTCTCTTTTGCTGCAAGCTCATGCCAGTCTTCGCCAAAAACACCAACGTAGCAGCCAATATCTTTGCCATTCCAGCCTGTCTGGCCAGCATTTTCCATACACTCCCAAATGACCTCCATCAACAAAGTCTGTTGCGGGTCTAATTCGTCCATTTCAAAGCCAGGAATCGCCGGGAAGAAGTTCAAGTCAGCGTTCCCGATGTAGTCATCTTCGAGAAAGTATCCTCTTCGTGTTTTCACTGTCCCGGGCCTATCCGCGCTATAAAACCCGTCCACATTGTATCGACTCTTGGGCACCTCTGACGAACAATCCCTTTTCTCGACAAGTGCGTCCCAAAATTGCTCTGCGGTTCGAACGCCGCCGGGGAGACGCATCCCCAGTCCCACAACTGCTATCGGTTGGCTGGAAATGGCCGCAACGCCATTGGTCGGCTCTTCATTGTTACCGACGTTCGGATTATCGCTCACACCGTTCTTGGTCTGGAGGATTGCACACTGGTGAGCAACCTGCATAGTACAAAACTGTAGGTGGATGTGGTGGTAGTCTACTCACCTCCATGGCCGTCTAATGGGGCCTATTGAGACACACAAAGTCGGATAGTTGATCACAGAACGCCAGAAGGGTTAATCCTTGTCAGAAGAGCAGAATCTCGGCCGCTGCAATGTGGTGCGGCACCGACTGTGTATATCATTAGCCTGTCGCCAGATCAATCCCTACACCGAGTTGCCTGCCAATGTTTTCTTAGATAGCACTCCTCGCATGTAGGCCGTTTGGGAACAAGGCCACATACGTAGTCCCCACTCCCCCTGCATGAAGATTCCCGCACTTGAGTCAAGTTCGGGCTCTGCTTATTGCAAAATAGCTCGGGATACATACCCCGTTCAAAGAAGCACCAGCAGACTAGGCCCAGACTAGACGAAACAGGAATACGAACTATTCGAGCTCTAATTCATAGCTGACTTATGGTAATATACGGAGGAGTGCACCAAAAGTGTTGACATTGGCACTAGTGTAATCTGCTGTTTCTACATAAAAATAGTACTACTAGTTAGATTACATGCAGATCATTTTAAAAAGACAATTATTACTTAAAGAGGTGAAACTGAAGCTATTCAAACCATTAAAATAAAATTATTTAAAGGTTTGACATGGTATAAGATGACCTTTGATTTAATATAAGTCTTCATCGAAGCAGCTTTTCTTATATTTATTACCTTCTTCTAGCCATGGCAAACGGGCGAGCTGTAAGCCCCGGGCTGAGCCGGGGCGGTCCCGAGCTTTTCGGTCTAATATATATACAATTTATATCTATTATCTATGTTTCTTTACTTATTTGATGATTTCCTGGATTATATATAGAGTAATAGTTATTGTAGTCAAGATATTCTTTATAAAGTCTTTATATATCTATAAATTTAAGAACTAAATATATATTCTATGACTTTAGTAGCCGGTAGCAGGTATCACAGTAGGGACTCTTGATCATAGATCCTAGATTAAATAGAGCAAAATCAGTAAAAAATTGAATACAGGAATGGCTTTAGGGAAGACTTAGGATCAAAAAAGGGATGCGAGATTACACGACACCAAAATCTACTAGTGGAATAGTTTTGCAGCACTAGCTCCAACATCAACATTTTTGATGCGCTCCTCCCTACGCTCTAAGGATTTCCGATGTGTAGACCTAACAAGCCATAACTCGCATGCAGATATGTAAGGGGCTTTTCCATGGATTCCCTCCCTGGTAATTTCTCAAGCGAAGAAGTATAAAGCCGTAGTCAACGGCCAACCCGTCTTACCTTGCAGAATACATTTGAATCTTGCATACGAAAGGACCTAGACTGTCAGCCAATTACACTCATCCAACTCACCGTTTCGCCCACGATGCTCTTCCGCAACATTGCCTTCTACCTCACTGCCGGAGCCTGTCTCGCAGTATCCCCTGTGCTGGGCGCCAAAGACATCAATCAGGCTGTCTCGGATATGAACGCTCTTACCACTTCCATCAAAAATGCCCGACAGTCCCTAGATAACTACCAGGGAGGGATGCTTCCCAGCCTCAAGGTTAGAAGTTCTGTGCAGACAGCCAAGGGTTCCGCCCAGAAAGCTCGCCAGAACCTGGCTCAGCAAGACGAGCCTTTCAATGATGATGAGGCCGAGAAATATTACCAGGCCTACCAGGAAATGTGCCCGGAACTCCTGGACGCAGTGAAGTCATCACAGAACAAGGTATGGTGCCCTTTGCCCCCCGACGACACTGATTCGATACGCTAATATTTTTCATGTACAGGCGCCTCTATTCAAGAAGGCTGGGGTGGCCTCAGATGCGAGAGCGCTCCTTGATACACTCCGGGATGAGCACTCCAAATTTGGAGAGGAAGCCCAGAAGCACGTCCCTGCGGACGTCTATGCTAAGGCAACTCCCTGTTCAGATCAGATCAAGCAGGCTTTTGATAACAATGACAAAGCTCTGTCTTGAGGGAGTGCATAGCCGGTCCTGAGTATGTCGACTTTTACTTCTCAAACGGCGAGGTTTCTGTATCAGTAGTGGGTGTTTTGGAGGCAATATTTCCTGTTGGTTCGATAGCTCCATGTATTTCACTGAAAGTAGTGGATTCTCGTGACAACTGAGATTTGATTGCACGTTACAAACTCCAATAAGTGTAAGATAAGGAGAAGTCATCATGGATGTAAAATGTACCTTCCTGCACAAGTAGTACTTCGAGATCCGCTAATCACGAGACACAGCGCTTACCTCACCCGTAATTGTAGTTGGTTGGTTGTTTGTTAATAACAGTTACGTATCATCTAGCTGCTTACATTAGCCTACATTACACATTACTTGCTCAGCAGCAGATATAAAATGAAGACTCAACAACCAATCGAAGTTTCTGGGGCGTAAAGCAAGCTTTCCCCGGGGCTACACAATCGTCGATCCGAACCTTAAAGCGTAAAACGCCCATTCCGAAGACTACAAAGGTTGGTCTGGCATCCCCTTTCCTTTGCCCTTCAGCCCTTGCATACCATGTGACTTGGCGTCTATTGCGGATAGGCCTGTAGGGTCAGGAGATGTTTGTTTATACTAATTATCAGACCGCAGCCAGACACTTAGTGTTACACGATCTTGAGAGACTTGCATTCATTCCATCAGGCAGATTCAAAGAATGCTACATACAGAAGGGAAGTATCTACATTAGCTCCAATATCAGGCAATGTGAGACACCGACTCTATCTGGCATGATCTGCCACCGAAGATCTGTTCTCGAGCTCTTTAAATGTAACTAGCAAGATGCTTGTCTATCTGACGAGATAGTGGTCAGATGATTTTATTATGCTGACCAGACAGATAAAATGTGCAACTCTGATCAGCGGTTTTTGATAGTAACATAAATTGCCACTACAGAGTATGAAAGGTTGGACATTATCTTTATAATTAACTTTAAAGTATCTTATTTTGCTTTTGCGACATCAATTTCATGACCATAACTCCCATGTAATGCCACCGACACAAAGAAAGGAAAATCAAAGAAAAAGGAAAAAAAGAGAAAAAAAAAAAAAAAAAAAAACAAAAACAATCGTTCCACCCTAAACTACATACCACAATCTGCCTGCCCGAACAACATTCCAATGGTACTTCCACCACAATGTAAGATCAATCAATCCAATCTCACAGCATCCATCCAGTTGCCTCCATTTTGCGCCACATATTCCCTCATCTGCGCAACCCAAGACACTGACTTCCTATCCACAGGAAAGAAAACATGACCACGATTGCAAACGAAGAACTCCACATACATATCATGCGGACTCAGGCCTCTTCTTCTCAATTCTAGCAGAATGCATTCATCGGGGCGGCGCAGCCTGACCCTTGTTTCTTCACCCACTCCCACTCCACGCTTCTTGCCATACCACTCATATTGCAAATTGCCCGCGTCCTCCATCGGCACGCCGAAAATAACCCTTTCCCCCTGAGTAGCAGTTTCAGGTGCATATTTCCAGCGCACATACTCAGCCAAAACATCCATAGGAGTCTGCAACACCGTTCCTTGGATATATTTATGTAGGAAGGTAAGGGTAGGCTGTGCCATTAGGAGTCGTCGGATACTATTGCTTTGCTGGTCGCGCTTCTGGCGCAAATACATATCCAATTGGACCAGGAAGAGTGTAGCGAGAAAGATGTCCCCATCTTGCCAAACGCACCGGTTACGGATCGTCCACTCCCGGCGCTCGTTGTCTGGGATATCCATCAAAGCCCAGATTTTCAAAATAGGTTGATAGGCTGCCGGCGGGAGGTTATAGCCAGCTTGGTGGAGGAGGGCCATGATATCTAGCACAACGCTCTCGCGGTATGAAAGCATTCGAAGCCATCGGATGGACGGCAAGAGGACATCTAGGTTATGCTGGCGGTCTTGAGGTTGGAAGGTACGCCACTTTCTGGGTTGGGCGCACAATCTAGGATAACAGAGGACGGGGAAGGTAATGGAAGAGAGATGGTGGCGTGCTGCTGCATAGGTTGAGGTAATATGTCCGATATATGCGCAGAGGAAGTCATGAATGGGTTTAGATACAGCACCTATGTTGACTATATCATTGACGTCGAGGTAACTGGTGAGAACAAGAGCAAGTTGAGGGTGGTATGCGAAATGTCGCAGGAGGTCATACCCCCCATGGGGGAGATTAGGAATTAGAAGTTGAGGGGTTGGCTGGACTCTGGCATTTTCATTCAAAGCTATATTTGAGGCTGACTGGCCGATTGCTCGTGGCTGCTGTGATACGGTCCGGGCTTCTTGGTGGCCAGTGGCTCGTGGCTGCTGCGGTACAGTACTGGCTTCCGGATGGTCGATATCTATTGGCTGCTGTGGTACAGTCCTGGCTTCTGAACGACCAAGATCCGGTGGCTGCTGCGGCATTATTCTGGCTTCCGGGCGGCGGATAATTGTTGGCTGCTGTGGGAGAGTCATGGTTTCTGGATGGCCGATGGCTCCTGGCTGCTGTTGTACGGTTCTGGCATCAGTCCCATCTGGGTTCAACGCACTAGCAGACACTGCTGGAATGAAGTTATTGCTCGAAACCCCAGTCTGAGTAGCAATTTGCGGCCTTGCTTCCACTGCCCTCGCTGGCTGCAGGGGTATGGATGCCAACTGGTCCTGAGGGATTGGCTGCAAGCTGCCAGTGAATTGTGCAGGGGGAATTTTCGGCACCTTAATACCCTCGTTGGTTATCTGTACAATGGCCGGTGTTTTTACTTTTGTGTTGCTTCCCTGCTGACACATAGGTATAATGTTCTCTGGCTGAATACCGGCGATTAACTGCTGGCGGATTAGATATGCCTGCAGCGCTAATTGGGGGTTAATGTTTGCTCCCAGTTGTTGGG